AAGGACATAAAAATGTATTTATTTATTTACAACTTACGGTTATTTTAGTTGCCGTTAAGGACATAAAAATGTATTTATTTATTTACAACTTACGGTTATTTTAGTTGCTGTTAAAGACATAACAAATGTATTTATTTACAACTTACAGTTATTTTAGTTGCTGTTAAAGACATAACAAATGTATTTATTTATAACTTACAGTTATATTAGTTGCTGTTAAAGACATAACAAATGTATTTATTTACAACTTACAGTTATTTTAGTTGCCGTTAAAGACATAAGAAATGTATTTATTTACAACTTACAGTTATTTTAGTTGGACGGCAACTAAAATAACTGTAAGTTGTAAATAAATACATTTTTATGTTAAAGACATAACAAATGTATTTATTTATAACTTACAGTTATATTAGTTGCTGTTAAAGACATAACAAATGTATTTATTTACAACTTACAGTTATTTTAGTTGCCGTTAAAGACATAAGAAATGTATTTATTTACAACTTACAGTTATTTTAGTTTATTTATTTACAACTTACGGTTATTTTAGTTGCCGTTAAGGACATAAAATATATATTTATTTACACCTTACGGTTATTTTAGTTGCCGTTAAGGACATAAAAATGTATTTATTTATTTACAATTTACGGTTATTTTAGTTGCCGTTAAGGACATAAAAATGTATTTATTTACAACTTACGGTTATTTTAGTTGCCGTTAAGGACATAAAAATGTATTTATTTACACCTTACGGTTATTTTAGTTGCCGTTTAGGACATAAAATAATGTATTTATTTACAACTTACGGTTATTTTAGTTGCCGTTTAGGACATAAAATATGTATTTATTTACAACTTACAGTTATTTTAGTTGCTGTTAAGGACATAACAAATGTATTTATTTACAACTTACGGTTATTTTAGTTGCCGTTAAGGACATAAGAAATGTATTTATTTACAACTTACGGTTATTTTAGTTGCTGTTAAGGACATAAAAATGTATTTATTTACACCTTACGGTTATTTTAGTTGCCGTTAAGGACATAAAATATGTATTTATTTACAACTTACGGTTATTTTAGTTGCCGTTTAGGACATAAAATATGTATTTATTTACAACTTACGGTTATTTTAGTTGCCGTGAAGGACATAAAAATTTATTTATTTACACCTTACGGTTATTTTAGTTGCCGTTAAGGACATAAACATGTATTTATTTATTTACAACTTACGGTTATTTTAGTTGCCGTTAAAGACATAAGAAATGTATTAATTTCCAACTTACGGTAATTTTAGTTACCGTTAAGGACATAAAAATGTATTCATTTACAACTTACAGTTATTTTAATTGCCGTTAAGGACATAAAAATGTATTTATTTACAACTTACAGTTATTTTAGTTGCCGTTAAGGACATAAAATATGTATTTATTTACAACTTACGGTTATTTTAGTTGCCGTGAAGGACATAAAAATGTATTTATTTACAACTTACAGTTATTTTAATTGCCGTTAAGGACATAAAAATGTATTTATTTACAACTTACGGTTATTTTAGTTGCTGTTAAGGACATAACAAATGTATTTATTTACAACTTACAGTTATTTTAATTGCCGTTAAGGACATAACAAATGTATTTATTTACAACTTACAGTTATTTTAATTGCCGTTA